GTGTGTGTGTGTGTGGGTGAATAACTGAATGGCCGGAGGGGGGATGCATCACTAGAGAGCGTTGTCAGGTCTCTGTTGGGACTATTGATATTGATCTAACCTCTCCACCTCTCCCCCCCACCCCAAACTCTCCTCCCCTTGTTTCTGTCTCACTTTTATTGTCTCTCCCACTTTCCTTCCCTCGTCTTCACCCCCCACCCTCACAAACCATCTCCAGCACCAGCAGCAGGTCCTGGCAGCCATAGAGAGGGCCAAGCAGGTCACCCCCCCAGAGATGAACTCCATCATAAGGGTATGATGTTCCAGCCCCCAGCCCTGATTGAGGGTCTTGTCATGGCTAGGGTCTTGTGATGGCAATTATTGATCATTATTACTAATTCTTCAGTTTTATTCACCTTTATTTACTGGCTTATTGGGTCTGAAATATTTCATGTCTGTGCTTTCAAATGAGTTGGACATAAATAAATTGACCCTGCTTCTTTGGCCACTAATGTTCTTAATACATTAAGTGACCAGAATGCAATTAGACAAGACCAATACAACAGCATTATAATAAATACCAGATTTTTTAATTGCGAGTGAGCTTTTGTTCATTTTAAATGAGTTTAAAGGAAAAATTAAAATACCAAGTGTTTTCATCGTAGGACCACTCTGTAGGATTTAGTGGCCTCTAGCGGTGTAATTGCAGATTGCCACTCCCTCGCTTCACCATCCCTTTCCAAATGCGAAGGACAAACTACGGTGTGAAACGTGTGGAAAAACACCACTATCTAGAGAAAGTATTTGGTTTGTCCCTTCTGGGCTACTGAACATGATTCATTGTAGCAGACTCTATGGAAGGCGCAGTTTGCCATTTGTAGATCAAAACGTCTCATTCTAAGGTAACAAAAACAAAACGGTTCCTGTATTCAGGTGATTATACACTAATGAAAACGTATCCATCAGTATTATATTCAGTTTCTGCCAATTGATCCTCCTAAATGTTACACACTTCTGGGGTTTTTTTATTCTGGGGTCTTAGATCCAAATCTAAGCAACAGAAGTATCCTGACTTTTACTCTCTAACATGGATCGAGCCCTTTCAAACTCAATGCCTTTAGTTTGTTATGCAGGCTTTATCTCATCAATTTGTAGTCTCTAAGCCTAAACTGAGATGACCCTGATGACATGACAGTGACTTCATCAGGGTTATTTTCCCAGACTTTAGAAACCCACAGAGGGCACGATAAAACTGTTTTGCACTGATTTTCATGTGTAAAATCTGTGTACTCCCTCTTTCAGTGTCATTGTTTTTTTTTTTTTTTTAATGAGTGCCAAAGTAGCACTCCAATCTACGGGATAAATGGGACGATGCCCTCCACTACATGGGCACACTTTTGATGATTAGAATAGTAAGATTAGCTAGCTAGCTAAAATACTGAATCAATATGGATGGGGCATTAGCCAGCTACCCACAGTCCTTCATCTTTGTGGCTTTAATGTTAGCCAGCTACACTTTATCATTATAAGCCTTGCACTAGCTAGCCGAGCCACTGCATCATTTTACTTTGGGTCTTGTGTTCGCTAGCTTAGCCACTCCATCACTGTGATGCATGATTCAAAGAGGTGGCTTGCTTTTGTCTTGTCTCTGCTGCTTTAGATACAAAGGATACTGGTCTACGTTGGCCTCTTAATAGGAATGGACCTGAATGGAGTTTGGTCCATTTTCTGATGTCTATTATTAATATCCTACTTTGATAGCAGCTAATATAATACTTTATACATCCTCTATACGTAATGGATTTAGAGTATTTGAGCTCTGTTTCTGAATGTAACTCAGAGCTGTTGACTTTGTAGGATGTAGCCTATTTAAACTGGGGCTGTTAGATACTGTTTATGAGAAGTCAGGATTGTCATAAAATCAACCCACTCATGTGTCATCATGTTGTGTACAACCGGGAGAGATGAACATGCACAGACTTGGCAGTAACAGTTTTTCTTCCTATACATTAAACTGTCTGTGTATCTCGTGTTTTATACCTTTTTTTTTTTTTTTAGACCATGTCTGTTCTCTGCAAGACCGTTTTATCATTTTTGTACGGTGTTCTCCCCTCTTAATTGTTTTCTTGGGCTTGTATTGAAAATTGCATCTATTATAAATAAGTATGGGTGCTGCATATTTTCTGCCTGCTACCCAGCATGTACTTAAGCTATGAATTCTAGCCTTCCATATTTCCTATTTTGCCTGTGCTATTAGCGCTGTGCCTCAGGGGTTACATATTAAACATAATTTGTGATGTATAATAGGTCTGTGCATTGCAGATTTTTGCATTTCTCTCAGTGTTTTGAAGTGACTTGTGTGCTGGATCTATCCCGCTGTGTCTAAGTTGTGTCTGGTTGTCTTCCATGCAGCAGCAGCTCCAGGCTCACCAGCTGTCTCAGCTCCAGGGTCTGGCCCTGCCCATGACCCCTCTGCCGCTGGGCCTGAGCCAGCCAACCCTCCCTGCCGTCACCACCTCCTCCGGTCTCTTCTCCCTCTCCTCCCTGCTGGCCTCCCAAGCCCAGCTGGCCAAGGAGGAGAAAGCATCACGTGACGGAGTTGACAGCCACCGCGAGGAGGACGGAGACAAGTCTGATTAGATGGTGTCCCCCATTCAGCTCTGTTTTTATCCAGAGACCTGAATACCCAAATCTGAGCCCCCCTTGGCCTACAGCCTCTCCCCTGGTCTCCCTCTCTCTGACCTTAGCAAACATGGGCTTCACTCCCATCCCCACATCTCCAGTTACAGACCCCTAACCATGTCCTCATGTCCTGATCTCTTCATATTTTTCACACTTGGGTTGTTTCCTTACCTTCCCTTTCGGTGTCTTTTAGTTAGACACCGTCTCTTTTTTGTATCCGATTTAACTTCAGTTTTTTTGTGTTTATGTTTTTTATCAGGACAACTTTCTATTTCTGTTCCTTCCTGCCTCCCTGTCGCACTGCCTCTCAGTTCTCATTCCTGTTAAGTTTCTGGGGTTTTTTTTCCCCTCCATGCCTCTCTTCCTCCCACTCTCCTCCACCTCTTGCCTCTGTTCTAAGCAGGTCCTTGTTATGTAGGACTGATCTGTGAGACTGAACGCACCGTACTGTAGGTGTTAAAACAGGCTAAATGTTAAACACAGGGATTCTTGGCAAGCTGTAAAACTTGTCAGACACAACACAGGATTCCTAAAACTTAATTTTCCTGAGACAGAGGTCTTACAGAGATCAGTAGTGTTGATATTTTTGGCAGTTGAGATTGCATGCATTGATTCCAAGCTAAAGGTTGAGTTTTGAATTGAAACGGTGGGTTGTTATGGATCAGATAAAGTACTTAAATAGTGCCCTCATGCCCCGGATAAAGAGACAAGCGCTGCTAAACCTGCACAGACGTCCCAACCAAAAACTGCTGCTTTCAGAGCAGAATCTTTGTAATGAGAAAGTCATCTCCAATCGACAAACTAGAGATGTGTATAATCCTAAATTTATATGGATGAAGGAAAAGCACCTTCTTAGAGCAAATTTCATGCGGAGAGCTGTCAGAATAGATAACAAACCCACCTTAGTAAGTAATCCCCCCTACTTACGATCCTCGCCTGACCCTGTGAGGTACGTCAGATAAATCCACCCAGCACCTTAACTGAAAGGCAACATTTTCATCAGTAGTTAACTGAACAGAGATGCCAATTGACTCCTGCATCCTCCCACCACCTTTTTTTTCATCTTTAATGTGCACTAATATTAGAGCAGGCACTGAGGGGAGAGAGTGTGCATGTTGTGTGTTTGACAGCAGAGGGCAGTGTGTGTCTTTGAGGAATGCTCCTCACTGGGTTTAGACCTGAGCAAAACAAGGACAAGACAATGACAGAATACAGGCTGTGTCACAAAGGGGGAATGGCTTATTTATCCACTCTGTGTGTACAAACTTAATATACAGAGACTAGACTGGTGACATTAATCTCTGCATGCGGTCAGTCCCGGTCTCTGTCATGATCCAGTTCTTGAGAAATGGTCTTTGGTCTATTTTAAGGAACATCTCGGCGTGAAACTAAAACACAACTCGGACCTGTGCTTTTGATCCTGTTCTGTAAATTCAGATTTAAATACTGTACATGTTGATTTACTGTAAATATACAACTCTGTCACATATCACACTAACACGACATCATACAGAGGATTTAACACCTACATACAACACCGAGTGGAAGATCAACAAACCCATCTAAATCAAATCAGTGCAGATCACACAGATGAAGCACAAGCGTCCGCCACAGCTGCTCTGATGAGTGAAAAAAAAAAACAACACCCTCCCCCTCATTCTCACACACCTACTCAGCTGTTTTCAATTACCTTGTCCGACTGGGCCTCTAGTCAGGTGGCGATTAGGTGAAACTATGTGATGTCATCAAACTCTGGCTGTGTTCAAAAAATCTCTCCCCAAATTCCCACATTCAGAGCGTCCTGGTGGCCCAGTGGTTAAAACGCTTAGGATATAATCGCAACATCCCCAGTTTGATTACAGCAGGAGACCTTTGTTGAAGGATAATGCCCCATTTAATTACTTGGGTTTAATTACCTAGTGATGAACTTATGTGAGGCGTCCGTGTTCATTTGGCTTTCAGGCATTTCTGTATTATTAAGGGGCCAAGTCAGATATAGCAGAGTCCCAAGAAGAGGTCTAATCAGGCAGCATAAGTGGAAAACACCTGTGTGGGTGGACTACGGGTGTGTGAGGGGCTTTAACGGGTCTAGTAGCAGCCAAAATGGCCCCATTAAATGTCTCCAAGCCAAGATGAAATTAAACTTTTTAGGGTGTTTCGCAAACGCATACATTTCCAGCAGAGGTAGCCTCAGTGGTAATTGAACCCCGGACCTTGGCACTGTCAGCCCTCAAAGATTGTTTGATCGACTGTGAGTCGACGGTGGCGGTTTGTTTGAGTGTTGATTTGATGACAGCCTATGTATGAAGCTGTTTTATACCACACACACACACACACACACACACACACACACACCTTTTCTTAGCCTCCCCTCTCTGTCTTAATGGCTACACTGTGAGAATGAATTGATTATGAAGAGTTTCATTCTAAAATAATAATGTTAATTTGGAAAATCACTACTCTTTGGCATGAAGCACATTTTATTGTTAAATTCATTCATATAGCAACAACTATACAACCCGCAGAATAATACCCTTCACGTGTCTAAAAGCTGAGATAACATACTATTGGTGGGACTCCTTCAATGACGGCCATTGTTGTGTATGTATGTGATACATAAACAAGGTGTCTATAAAGCGTTGTACAGGTTTGGTCGCCGACGATAAACCACAGAGATAAAATGCGTTGCTGTTCTTACTACAGCTAAAGCTAACATGCTATTCTGCTTGTGAATTAAGCTCGCAGCACATCGTCCTCCCATCTAGCCACATACTGTATGTATCTAGCTACATACTGTACTTGTCGTAGTGATACGCAGAGCGTGTAGACAAAGCAAGACACACACATGCGCGCGCACACACACACACACACACGCATCAATGCATGTCTGCGGGGGAACCGAGATTGATTTCTTTCTAGTGGAGACCATTTTTTTTAAAAGAATGTTTGGTCCAAACTTTCTGTGATCAATGCACTTGTTTTTGTTCCTCTTCTTTGTTTTGAAATATTAATCGATATGAACTAGAACGAGAATTACAAAGCTGACGTTATAAACATACAAATGAAATTCTATGTATTTGTTAAAGTAGTTGGAGGTGCTCGCCTCTGTATACAGTTATACATAGAAAGCTTTATGTGTATATAGCTGCATCTTTTCTTGTCTGTCCTGGATGATTCTTGTGCTATTGTGTTACAAAACTGATGTGACACCAGGGGGGAAACTGCAGTACATTGACCTTTTGCCCTTTGACCCCTTTCTTCTTCTCTGACCCCCCCAATCCCCTTTAGTCCCATGCCACATCCTACCTTCCCAACTTTTTGCCCCCATAGCGTGAAGCATTGTAAGCGTTTTGAGCTTTGTAAAGGTCTTTTTTTAAATACTTATTTTGTGCATAATGTAAAACCTGAAAGTGTGTACTTTGGCAAAAAAAAAAAAAAAAAGTTTTGTGTCTGAAATCATAGCTTCATTGAAACAAAAAAAGAAACTATAAAAAAGTACAACAAACATTTACTATAAATAATATGAAATGTTCTGCAGTAAGGAAGGACTTCTGGTGCCTTACAAATAAAGTCAATCAAATCATAAGAAACTGTCTCTTTTGTAACTCTTTTCAACATCTCTGTGTAAATCTTTAAAACTACAGATTGTCTCCTGATTGGTGTGGATGGCTTGGTGGTTAGAACGTTTTTACTGTGTTCGAATAATGAACTAATCATGTTTGATTCCTGTAATAGGGGTTTTGTCCCCCCCGTTTTAACTAAGTTTTAACTGGTTACGGCAGCACATCTGATGGACGTTATTATTAGTGATTGTCCAAGAAAAAAACCCATGCAACAACATAAAAACCTTCATTATCAATACCTGCGTATCCTTTGTAGGAGCCGTTTTGACAAACGTCTCAGCTTAATGGCAAGTAGGTTTTTGTAGCCTACTGAAAATGACTGAAAAGCAAAGGCTGTCTGGAGGGAAGGAAAACACTTAAAAGTACAAAAACAAACTCCTCACGAGGCCCATTTAGTGGAAACTCTGGGGCTTTCCGTTGCGTACAGTCTTCCTCGGCGGATAGATTTTTCTGAGCACTTTACAGACTCCATGTTGGTTTAAACTTAAAGGTCCACTGTGTAGGATTTAGTGGAATCTAGCAGTGTGATTGCAGCTCAGCAATTCACTCACTTCACCCTCCTTTCCCAATCGCAAACTGCCCTATCTAGAGCCATTGTTTGGTTTGTCCCTTCTGGGCTACGGTAGAAACGTGGTGGCCTCCACAGAAGGCGATCCACAGCATCTGTACATATAAACCCATTCTGAAGTAACAAAAACACAACAATTCTTATTTTCAGGTGATTATACACTAATGAAAATATACCAATAAATATAATATTTAATTTTATCCAATAGATCCTCCTGAATCTATATTATTATCTCTAGAAATATTTGTAATTAAAGGGGGGAAAACATTAAAATCCCCCTCTCAGCATGGTACTGAAGTGTTCTTTTGCCATTTTTCAGAAAGACTAATTAAATAAAGAAACCTGTGAGAAAACTCACTGAGTTACAAAAGCTACAAGACCAGAGGCTAACAGAAAGTCAACATCGAAACACCCTGGTACAATACATTCAGCAATATCTGGTCTGCATTAATCAGCCTCCAGTGATTTTCTTGAATCTTATAAATGAACTTTCATGATGTTTTGTGGCTTTGCAAGGCTGACATTCACCAGATCAAACTCGGATTCATGCTGACTTCAATGTCTCTATTCTTTAGGACCCAACGTCAAGGTATAAATGACAGGATTCTCAGATTGGACTTAATAAACAGAGAAACTCATTCATTTGCTGCCTTCTGAGAGTTCCTGTAGTTCACAGCAGATCCACCAGGAGGAAGTGTTGATTTACGTTTACCAGCTGAGGTGAAACCAGCAGGTAATTCCTCTGAGGTATTCTCGCGTATGCCTCCGGTGTTTGTGAGTCAGATTTGACTGTTCTTTTGGCCGCGTTGATGAAGGTTTATCTATTCAGTGCCACGTGTACCCAGAATTGATGTGACATCTCGGAGACGGTGGATCACAACCTGTTTGGCACCTGTGCATAATCCTCATTTAGATGCTCTGTCTATTAGAGTCCTGAGACATAACTTGGTTTGTTACATTCACATCTCGTGCACACTGATTTTTTTTTATTTATTTTTTTACTGTGTTTGAATGACAGCATTGCTTTTCTTCTTCACTTCCTCCTCTATCTCCTCACTTTCTTTCCCTTCCCCCCTCACTCCCTCTTTCTGTTTGCCTCCCCCCACATGTGTCCATGCAGGCACATGAGTGTGTGTGTGCCTGACTGTGTGTTCAGAGATAGAAAAGAGAAAGAGGAAGGCTTGTGAAACCTCAGAGTTCCTGTGGTTGCAGCCCTCCTTCCCCTCTCTTCCTCCCTTCCCCTCTCTTCCTCTCTCCCTATAGACAGCTCTGGATCTGACACTTGAATGAATATGAAAGTGCCCTATTTTTTCTCTTTCTGTCTGAGGATTCACACACACTCCTCACAAGCAGCGACGCAGAGGCAGCAGAGGGGAGGTTTTCTCTCATCCGGTCTTTTTCTATAGAGCACATTAGAGCCTGTGGAAAAAAGATAAAGTGCCACAATCACACTCAAGTTGTTTAATTAGTGTCACCCTAAAGGATAACGCTGATGATATTATTTCATTTTCTTGTTGTCAACAAATCCCATAAAAAGAACCAACCCGACAAAAAATGTATGCGACCAATATTTATTGCCTTATATTCTTCTGTGCCACATCAAAGAGCCATACTGTTACACTGGGTGACATTTTCCTTCATTATGATAAACCTGGGCAATGTAGTTTATTTAAAGTCAGCCCCACTTCTGTAAATCATTAGAGCACCAAATGTGTACCAATCTGAAAATAGTTCCCAGTGCACTATTGACTCCTGTTTGACTAACATTTGCTTCAGTTCCCAGCTGTCTCAGGAAATTACTGACTTATTTTCAAATGCAAGTGTGTCTGTGACTCATTTTGAAAGGTTTACATCCTCAGTAAGAATATATTTATATATGTATTTATTTATAGAGACAGAGTGACGCCTTTTTGGTTGGATGTGTCGACAATAAAAATATTGTCAACACAGTAATTAGCTTATATTGGTCTTAACTGTGGTTGCATTTTATAGGTATTTATTCAATGTGTTTTTGAGTGACAGTAATGTAATGTCCATGTTATTATGGATGAATAAATTGAACCATAAACTTTGAAACTTAATCATAAAAATACAGTAACACTAGCCCTGTCCTTTAAGATAAATCTGATGTGTCAAATGATTAAACTGATTAGAATGATGAATGATTTTTACTTTCCTATAATTTTTTAGCTTTTTTGTGATACACTGCATATTTTCACCTCTGAAAATCCTTAAAATTAAACCATCCAAGAAGGAAAATCTCTCTTAAGTTGCTTGCAGGTCCGCACTTAAGATATAACCTCTGACGAGGAGCCACAAGTGGACATTAATGAAGCGAAGCCTTCAGTCAGTCAACTTGAGTCAGCCTCTTATTCATCTCACTGCAACATATATATCCAATGCCCCCTTTTAAATAAACACCAAGGGTACTTGAGCAGTCATAGCTCTGCTCACTCTTTTCCCACCATGCACTTTACACCACTCACCTGAAAGCTGTGCTGTCACATGCTGTCAACACTCCCAGCATCCATCCACCCACCTGTAGGCTCTGAGTATCATTGTCACCCCCCACTCCCTGCTGTGCTGCTTTCCTTTGTGGGGAGTGATAAGGTCAGAGCCCGGACACAAAATATCAACGCTGCACAAGTATTATATATTATATTATATTATATTATATTATTATTATAAGCTTTTCAATGTGAGCCGGCTGATTGAACTTCATTTTAAAGAATCAAAGCCAACAACCCCTCTGCTGTGAAGACACAGCCCTGAAAATACACAAATGCATGTGCTCTGAGTTTATGTACACAGTCCTGATGGGGGGAGGGGGGTGCTGCACTGGAAGACAAGGTTTTGTGTGCGAGTGTGATGATGATGATGATGATGATGATGATGAGTCTGAGCAAAAAGAGAGAGAGAGGGAGGGAGAGCGACGGAGAGCGAGAAGCGTCTTGATTAATCATGATTGACTCATTCAGAGCCCACTCGTCTTTTCCCCCTCGCTCCCTCGCTCCCTCTCTCCTTTATGGCTTGATTACGGAGACGTACTCTATCTCTCATTACCTCCTCTCCTCCATCCCTCGCTCCTTTTCTCCATCTTTTCTCCCTCCCCCACCGCCACACACACTTCCCCTCCCAGCCCGGTTTATTCATCCGTCCCCGGGAAAGGAGGCTGTCAATCTCCGTCTGCCGCCTCTCCATCCTCTAACCCGCCGCACGTCCCTTCATCTATCCCTCCATCCATCCATCTATCTCTCCCATCCATCACTGTCACTCTTTTTTACTCTCTTTCTCTCTCTGCCTCACTCATTCCTGCCACTTTGAGAATCTTTTATATATAAATTTTCTCTCTTTCTCCTTTCAAAGACTTCCTCCATTTATCTTCGTCCCCCTTTTTTTCTCCTCCTCTGCATTCAGAGTGATCTGTCGTTCCCTGTGTGTCTGTCAGGCACACTCACAGAAATGGAAAAAAAGCATACACAAATTTTACTTCCCATTCTTGCTCTCTCTCTCTCTCTCTGTCTCCCTGTCTGTCTCTGTGTCTCCTCTCCTCTCCCTCCTTCTCCGACCCTCAGGCTGAGGAGCAGGTCCCCCCAGTGTTGACACACCCGAGTCTAAATACAGATGCTTCCCGAGAGATGCACGCATGGGAAAACCGCGTGCCCTCTGGCCTGCCCCTTTTCTAAATCTTGTCTTCTCCTCCTGTGCAGTTCCCCCCATTGCACACACCACACACACACACCACACACAGTGTTTGTTTAATGTGTTTGGTGAGGTATATGCCAGTGTGTGTGTGGCATGGCATACGTTTATACATGTTTGCTGTGTGCACGTGTGTGAAAACTTGCATAAGCTGTATGCTGAAGCATGTGCTGTGGTGTGTGTGTGTGTGTGGGCGTGCGTGCACAGCTGGTTTTCTCGCCAGGCAGCAGGAAACAGAAAATGGAGATGAGAACTAATCAAACTTTATATCGAGTCATATGAGATAAAAC